GGCGCTCTTTACGTCTGGAGGAAAAGAAATTTAATCCCAAACATTGAAAGGTTTCTTCCCAGTAAAAGCTGTGAGAATGTGGAATAGACTTCCTCCAGAGTTGGGTGTGGCCAGCTCAGTGGATTGCTGTAGGAAAGTCCTGGATCCTTTCTTGGATACACAGAATATAACTGGATATAACATTTATAGGGAAAGTTGATCCCGGGAATATTCGATTGCCTCTCGGGGGATCAGGAAGGAATTTTTTTCCCCTGCAGGAGGAGATTGGATCGTGCTTTGCTGCTTTTTTTTTTTGCTTTCCTCTGGATCAACTGTGGGTGTAGGATCATAACTTTTTTTTTTAATGATTGAACTGGATGGACTTTTGCCTTTTTTCAGCCAGACTAACTATGGAACTACATAATACAGAGTGTGAAACATATTACTGAACTTACAAAACCCTCTGAATGAAATGAATAGGAATGAATGTGTTGGGGTTTTTTTTGTTATAGTTTATTTTGGATTCATTGAAATTCATTATTATTTCGGTTCGGACATTTGGATACATCTGAATCTCCATATGTATCCTGTACCACCTTCCCCTCCCTCCCAGATTGTAAGCTCCAAGGATCAGGGCCCTCGAACCCCTCATGTATTGTACTTGTCTCATGTTCTGTCCCCCACTGTAATGTACAGCGCTGAGCTAACCTTTTGGCGCTATATAAACACTGTATAATAATAATAATATGTATCACTCAACTCTCCCTCCTAGATTGTAAGCTCCCAGGATCAGGACCCTCTGTTTCCTCTTGTACCAAATTGTATTGTAACTGTAATGTCTGCCTTCATTCTGTAAAGTGCTGAGCAAACTGTTGGCGCCATATAAATCCTGTATAATAATAATAACAAACATTCTGTCCGAATTTCGACTCGTAACAAAAAGAATCACACTTTTCTAGACTAAGCAAACCTGTTTTGAGCAAAAGAGGCAAAAGTAGTTGATTTAGTAAAGACAAATAGGTGATGCACTTTGCAGTCTTTTTTCTTAGCAAATGTAATGTGATGTGTAAAGAATACCCAATCACATGCAAAAAAAAGGTAAAAAAATGTAAATTTTCACGCCTTTTCGCTTGCTTTGCCTTTAGTAAATCCACCGAAAAATATTACATCTAAATTTTAGGAACCACAACTCACGAATGGACTCCATATACCTTTCCCTGTAATTCGAGGGCCTCTTCCCATTACACAGATAAGAGTGTGAATTTCTCCAGCAGATAGAACTCGGGTACAACGGAGGAGGAAATAAATAGCAGCCATCGCACTGTGAGCAGAGATTGATTACATATCGCCGGTCTCTTCCCTCCATTCCTCAGAGCTGTCATCTTCTCCTCAAACAATAAGTGACGTGCAGCCATTGCTTGCATTACTCCCTTGTATAAATCACAGCCGGTGTCAAGGGCATTACTTTCCTTCGTCACTCTTCGGCTGCCTATTGCACCCAGAGACTTTCTGAAGTATTAGAAGAGCCACCGATATTGAACAGCAAGCAACTCTATTGTTGGTGACAGCGACATACGAAGCAAGGGAGGATCAGATTCGTAGATGGTACTCAATATCCATTCGAAGGATTTGTGGAGGAGAAACAACTCTACAAGATACTATATATATATTATTTATATCACTATCACGCACCACAGCATGCACAATACGGTACATAAAGTGATGGAGAAAAGAACACGTCAGCATTATTAATCAGATATGAACATTATATACAATGTCTACAATAGATTTATAAAAGTTAGAGGAAGCCCAAGAGCAGCCACATGTGATTTGGTATAGAAGAGTGTTCAATCAATGTTCTCATTGGGCGCTCCTCTGTACCCATCCCAGAGGTTCATGCTTAATGTTCTCATTGGACACTCCTCTGTACCCATCCTAGAGGTTCATTCTGAGCGTTCTCTTTGGTGCTCCTCTGTACCCTTCCCAGAGGTTCATGCTGAACGTTCTTATATGGTGCTCTTCTGTACCCATCCCAGAGGTTCATGCTGAGCATTCTCATTGGGTGCTCCTCTGTATCCATCCCAGAGGTTCATGATGAGTGTTCTCATTGGACACTCCTCTGTACCCATCTCAGAGGTTCATGTTGAATGTTCTCATATGGAGCTTTTCTGTACCCATCTCAGAGGTTCATACTGAGTGTTCTCATTGGGCGCTCCTCTGTACTCATCCCAGAGGTTCATGCTGAATGTTCTCATTGGGCGCTCATCTGTACCATTCCCAGAGTTTCATGCTGTGCATTCTCATTGGGTGCTCCTCTGTACTCATCCCAGAGTTTCATGCTGAACGTTCTCTTTGGACGCTCCACTGTATCCTTCCCAGAGGTTCATGCTGTGCATTCTCTTTGGGGCTCATCGCATCCCAGAGGTTCATGTGCACTCATCTGTACTCATCCCAGAGTTTCATGCTGTGCATTCTCATTGGGAGTTTCATGCTGAACGTTCTCTTTGGACGCTCCACTGTATCCTTCCCTGAGCTTCATACTGAGCATTCTCTTTGGGTGCTCCCCTGTACTCATCCCGGAGTTTCTTGCTTAATGTTCTCATTGGACACTCCTCTGTACCCATCCCAGAGGTTCATGCTTAATGTTCTCATTGGACACTCCTCTGTACCCATCCTAGAGGTTCATTCTGAGCGTTCTCTTTGGTGCTCCTCTGTACCCTTCCCAGAGGTTCATGCTGAGCATTCTCTTTGGGTGCTCCTCTGTATCCATCCCAGAGGTTCATGCTGAGTGTTCTCATTGGACACTCCTCTGTACCCATCCTAGAGGTTCATGCTGAATGTTCTCATTGGACACTCCTCTGCACCCATCCCAGAGGTTCATACTGAGCGTTCTCTTTGGTGCTCCTCTGTACCCTTCCCAGAGGTTCATGCTGAACGTTCTTAAAGGGCACTCTTCTGTATCCATCCCAGAGGTTCATGTTGAATGTTCTCATATGGAGCTTTTCTGTACCCATCCCAGAGGTTCATGCTGAGTGTTCTCATTGGGTTTCCTCTGCACCCATCTTAGAGTTTCATGTTGAATGTTCTCATATGGAGCTTTTCTGTACCCATCTCAGAGGTTCATACTGAGTGTTCTCATTGGGTTCCTCTGTACCCATCCCAGAGTTTCATGCTGCTGCGTTCTCATTGGGCGCTCCTCTGTACTCATCCCAGAGTTTCATGCTGCTCGTTCTCATTGGTGCTCCTCTGTACTCGTTCCCAGAGGTTCATGCTGAACATTCTCTTTGGATGCTCATCTGTACCATCCCAGAGTTTCATGCTGTGCATTCTCATTGGGTGCTCCTCTGTACTCATCCCAGAGTTTCATGCTAACCATTCTCTTTGGACGCTCCACTGTATCCTTCCCAGAGGTTCATACTGAGCATTCTCTTTGGGCGCTCATCTGTACTCATCCCAGAGTTTCTTGCCGAATGTTCTTATTGGACGCTTCTCTATACCTGTCCCAGAGGTTCATGCTGAGTATTCTCTGTTAACGTATCAGAGAGGCAGCAGACCAGGACTACAACTAGGTCCTACCACACCATACCTTCATTGGGTATTAGCCCCCTGGAAGGACTCTTCACTTAATGCCAAGCATTGCTTACTTTGGACCAGTGCCACTACCCCCCCCCCCCCCGCCCATTTGTGTCTTTGTATGGAATACATATTCATACAAACTTATATAGCAAATGATGGGAATTATTATTATTATACAGTATTTATATAGCGCCAAAAAGTTTGCTCAGCGCTGTACATCATAGTGGGGGACAGTATATGAGACAATACAGTGACAATACAATACACGAGGGGTTCGAGGGCCCTGCTCCTTGGAGCTTACAATCTAGGAGGGAGGGGGTAGTGGTACAGGAGGAAGTGGCTGTGGGGGATGGAGTGGTAGGAGGAGTGGAGGGGATCGGCTGTTAGGTGAGGGCAGGGTAGGCTTCCTTAAAGAGATGGGTTTTCAGGGTGCGCCTAAAGGTGAGGAGGGTAGGTGACCGTCTGATGGATTGGGGTAGTGAGTTCCAGAGGATGGGGGAAGTCCTGGAGAAGTCCTGGAGTCAGGCATGGGTAGGAGGAGACTAGGGAGCTAGAGAGTAGGAGGTGAAAAGCGAAGAGTACGGGTTGGGTAGTATTTGGGTATCAGGTCGGTGAGGTAGTTTTGGGGCAGCGTTATGAATGGCTTTGTACGTCAATGTTAGTAGTTTGAATTTTATGCGTTGGGAATACCAATCTCATCAATGCTACTAGCGCTCTAAAGCATTCCTGTACCATTCTAATAGATTTGTTACTTGCACCCAAGACAGAAATAACTTTCCAAACAATATATTGTTCCCTGACCAGATCTTGGAGTACCAAAGGTGCCTGGGAAGTAGTATTTGTTATGCTCATCAATGGTACTGTAAATGTTTTATGCTATTGGTTCACTTCCAACAAGGATAACACAAGGGGGTTATTTTCATTCCTGAGAGTAATTTCATTGTTGGATTGGCAATATATCTTTTTTTAGGTTTACAAAAGAACCGGTCTAGTTAACAAGCTGAATTTACTTCATTTGTGTTCTTTTAGCAAATTTAGTTAAAAAAACGTTGATGTTCAGATCTTTAAATACAGCCAGCCAATCTATGAGTTGCCTATTGGAAAAGGGCCATTTTAGATGGAGGTAAGGTAGGCTTCCATTGGGTAAATAACCGTTTCATGTTGGGAGCAAAACTGCTGAAGATCTTAAGACTTGGTGAATTTATCCTAATGACCCTTATTTATTAAAGGTAAGAGTCATATGGAGGAGACACGCTTGTTCCATTTACCTTACCTACCCCGCACCTTGTCCTTTACTCTTTTTTTTACCCCAGATAAACCATTGGAACCTATTTTAAGGGATACCCCTGATAAAACCAATTAATTGAGGGCCAATGGGAAGAATGCTCCTTACATTGGAGGTCAGTGGGGAAAAATGTCCCTTACATTGGTGGTCAGTGGGAAGAATGTCCCTTACATTGGAGGTCAGTGGGAAGAATGTCCCTTACATTGGGGGTCAGTGGGAAGAATGTCCCTTACATTGGGGGTCAGTGGGAAGAATGTCCCTTACATTGGTGATCAGTGGGAAGAATGTCCCTTACATTGGAGGTCAGTGGGAAGAATGTCCCTTACATTGGGGGTCGGTCAGTGGGAAGAATGTCCCTTACATTGGGGGTCAGTGGGAAGAATGTCCCTTACATTGGGGGTCAGTGGGAAGAATGTCCCTTACATTGGGGGTCAGTGGGAAGAATGTCCCTTACATTGGGGGACAGTGGGAGGAATGTCCCTTACATTGGTGATCAGTGGGAAGAATGTCCCTTACATTGGAGGTCAGTGGGAAGAATGTACAGGCAAGATGGCTGCCCCCTGCAGAGAGACTGTTTCACCTGAGCTCCCAGGTGCTCCAGACCTGATTGATGCTGGTGGGGGAGGGGAGCAGCACACTGCACAACATGCAGAGCAAACAGCACACATGGATGTCTCACTTGTTGCTGTGTCTGAGAATCCAATCCAGTCCTGGGCTGAGTCTCCTTTCTTGGAGCAAGAGATGACTGATGGAGCTTCTATGGTTGCAGCAGTGAGTGCGGACATTGCTGTGAAGTCTATGACTGTTGAGACTGCTAAAGCAATGGATGTGTTGGTGGTGGGTGGAGGTGAAGGGGGTTAACATTGCTGACAGAGGTAAAAATGACATTTCTCCCCCTGCTGAGCAGAGAGAGGATACACCATCCAATCCCGGATCTGTGCAATCGGTATCTGCCAGAGTTGCACCAGATGCTCCCAGACACACAAATGTTTCTGCTGCTGGGAGGATTGGGGGGAGCTATGCCTCTGTTTTGGGGAGTCGCACCAAGGGGGGTGGGGGGAGTGTTGGGAATACTAATGGTCACAATTTGGGGAGGTTTGGTGGTGGGATGGTTTGGAGGGGTCAGGAGAAGGAATGTGGTACAGTTGAAGTGGGAGGGGGAAGGGAACCCACCAGTAAGAGGGGGAGGGTGGCGGAGTTGATTCTAGAGATGGGCGTTTAAAGTCTGTGATGTTTGCATTGATCTGCCCAGTAGGCAGCTATGAATACGATTTGTCATTTGTAAAACCTGAAGGCCTGGACCTGTTTTGGGAGAGATATGGAGGTGCAGGAGCCTTCAGCAGTGGAGAGGTTTGGTGGCAAAGGTTGTTTCCAGACAGCCTTTGATAAAATCGGTGACAATCCTGGTCCGGAATGAATCCATACCAGAGGCTGATTTAGTAGTTTGGCTACGCCGACATGGTGAGGTCCTCACCCCACTGCGGAAGGTCCTGGATGAGCATAGGATATGGACAGGGGCCTGGACGGTGTCAGTGCAATTGAGGGTGCTGGGCAATGTGGTTCAGCATCTTCCCTGCTCAGCCTTTCTGGGGAAAGATAGGAATGACCATTTTCTATCAAGGTCAGCCTAAAGTTTGTAACAAATGCGGAGAGAAAGGCCATTTTGCGTCGTCCTGTACCATCAAGAAGTGCTCACTGTGCCAGGATTTTGGCCATTTGGCCAGAGAATGCACCGAGATTCGGTGTAATTTGTGGCAGCAGCTGGGTCATCCATACAGTCTGTGCCCAGAGGCACTACACAACCTGCCAGGACTGGAGGCTGAGCTGCAGAGGCTGGATAAAGAGGATGAGGCAGCTGATGCTAGGGAGGAAACTGTAGTTGCCCCTCCTGTGTCTGTTCCCTCTGTTGTGTCAGATTGTGTTTCCCCCAGTAATGTCACCCCTGAGTCTGTCCCTCCTGTCCCTAATCCTACAGTACGTAGATCCTCCAGACTGGCGGAAGCTGCTGGGGGGGCGGGTTTAGTGGATCTTCCCTCTCGGCCTACTCCACCTCCGGTACCTGTCCCCCATCAGCGCAAACGTGGTCAGGAGGTTGTGGGGGGGTGCGGGATGGGGGTGGAGCCGATGGGGCTCAGGGAGGGGTATCCATGTCCCATGTCTCACCTCCTGCTGGGGGGGATTCGGCTGATGAAGGGTGGGAGAGGGTGAAGGAGAAGAGGAGAAGAAGAAGAAGAGGAGGATGAGAAGAGCTGTCCTCTCTTCCTCAGAATCAGATCTAGGAGGGGTCCCTCTTGGCAATACTTTTTTCAGTTTTGTCAGGTGATGAGATGGTATCTGATATATCCATTTCTCTATCATCTATGGATGAGGGGGAGTCACATACTCTGAAGAGAGCTGTTTCGGGTGATGAGAGTGTGGTAGAGGTTAAGAAACGACTACCCCAATCATCCTGATGGCAGTTCCCACTCTGTTAAAGGTGGCGACCATTAATGTCGCCAGCATTAAATCTGCAAGAGCTCGTGATACGGCCTTATTTTTGCTCAGCGAGTTTGATGCTGAGATTTTATTTTTGCAAGAGACCTGGCTCAATACATTGGCCGATGTCTATCTAGCAAAAAGGGAGTGGAGATGTGGTCCCTCCTTTTGGTCTCTTGCGGCTGAACCTTGCAGCGGAGTTGCGGTCCTTTTTAAAACCGATATGGTAATGTGTGCGGCGAGTAATTGAGGTAGAAATGGGGAGATGCATGGTCTTAGACGTCTCTGTTAGGGGGCAGGACCTGCGCCTGATCAATATCTATGGACCCCAGTCAAAATGGGGCAGGAAATGCCTCCTCACAAAGATCAAGCCCTTCCAGCAGGTTGTCTTTGGAGGTGACTTTAACACCATAATTAGGCCTGAAGACAGGAGAGGCTCCATAGACAGCTGGGTTATGATAGTGTTTTTCTCAGGAGATTTGGTTAGACAGGCAGGCCTGGTAGATGTGCACATTAAGCACTGCCCTGGCAGCACGGGGTTCACATTTCAGAGAGGGAATAGTCAGAGCAGGATAGACAGGTTTTTTTTAAAGGAGAACTCTGCTTTCTCGGCTCCTGAGTTGAAGGCGGTGGAGTTCTCTGACCACTGTATGCTGTCTGTGACTCTGAATGCCTCGGACACTCCACCCAGGGGAAGGGGTGTCTGGAAACTGAATTTGGCTCTCCTGGAAGATGTAGAGGTAAGACAATCCTTTGAGGATTTTTTTCAGGCACAGGTTTCTATTCTGGACTTTTGCAGCAGTAAGTCAGAGTGGTGGGAGCTTGTGAAACAAAGGGCGATCGGACTTTTCAAGGCCATAAGTAAGAAGAAGCAGCTTGGTATGTATATTGCCTACCAGCATTTGCGGAGGAAGCTTGATCGTCTTGTCTCGTATGGAGGAGATCCAGGGGAGATCTCTGAAGTGAAGCTTCTTCTTAGGAAGTGTCAATACGACCGGCATGCCTCCTTGGTTCTGGAGAGGGATTATGGGAAATATCACTCACCTTATCCTTACCAGAACTGTAAGCAAGGCATAGCAGTTAAGACGGTCATTGGCCTGAAAGACAGTACGGGTTCCCTGATAAAGTCCAGATCAGGGATCTTGGAGATCTTTGGGTCGTATTATGCAGACCTCCTGGGAAGAAAGGACCTTAGCCAAGACAGGACGGAAAGCTTTCTGGATTCTACTCCAGGATTGGGAAATGGTGCATTGCTTTTGATGAATTTGACAGAACCAATTTCAGCGGATGAGGTAGTTCATGCTATAGACAAGCTGGCTACCAAAAAATCGCCTGGGCCAGATGGATTGACAGCTGAATTTTACAAGTGTTTTAAGTCCATTCTGGCTCCCTTTTTAGCGGAGGTTTTTAATAGCTGTCTAGAAGAGGGTTCGCTCCCTCCCTCCATGAGGCAATCCGCTGTGATTCTTCTGTCAAAAGGTAAAGAACCCTCAATGATTGAGAACTGGCGCGCCCCATCAGTCTTCTCAATGTTGATAGAAAGATCTTGGCAAAGATTCTTTTTTGGCGCTTGTCGTCAGTAGCAGGCGATTTGTTGTTCAGCCATCAGCACTGTTTGGTCCAAGGTAGAAGTACCTTTTCAGCAGTTTTGGCTATCCGGGAGGCTTTGGAACGATGCAGGGCTGCTGGATGGAGAAAGTACTTGCTGGCATTGGATCAGGCGAAAGCTTTTGATCGAGTGAATCATGAATATCTGTGGTTGCTGCTTGGTAGATACGGCCTGCAGGGGAGGTTTATAGATTGGCTGAAGACATTATATAAAGGGGCTGAGAGCTTCCCACTTGTTAATGGTTGGGTTGGGCGGCCTTTTGAGGTCGGCTCTGGTGTGCGCCAGGGATGTCCTTTGAGCCCCCTGCTATATGCTTTCGCAATCGACCCCTTTGTAAGAAGGCTAGAGGGTGCATCGTTGTGCGCGGTGCCTCTGGGCATTGCTGGTGTGCCGCCTTTGAAGGTCGTTGCCTATGCTGATGATGTGTCTGTTATTATCTCTGGGACTGAGGAGGCGCAGGAGGTGGTCTCTGTGATAGAGCAGTACACGGAGGCTTCTGGCTCTAAAGTCAACCATGAAAAGAGTGAAGTTTTCTGGATGGGTGAGGAGGGTGAAAGCTTCGAACTTCCGGATGCCTTCCCAGAGCCCAGCAGGAAATTAAAATTTTTGGGCATCAAATTTGGTCCTGGTGACTATGGTCATCGAAACTGGGAAAGCAGGTTGGTAGTTGCCAATGCCAAAGTAGCGAGCTGGAAGAGATGGAGGCTTTCCTTAAGAGAGAGAGGGTTGACTTGATCAAAACTTACCTGATCCCGATCTTTTTATATGTCAGCTTCGTCTGTATCTTGCCGGTATCTCTCTATGCACGGGTCTACAGCTGTTTTTTCCAACTGTTATGGGGAAATAGGCTGAACTTGATCAAACGCAATGTAACTTACCTGTCCAGGCGGGAGGGTGGCCTAGGAATGGTCAACCCGATAGTTTTCTTTTCTTTGCTCTTTTTAAAGTACAATCTTGGTAATATGTTAGCAGAGACCCCGCCGGGATGGGTGGGTATTTTTCAGTCTTGGTTTAGGCCTTTTCTGCATTGCTGGGAAGATGGCGGCCCAGTGAAAAGTCTAAGAGTCCGACATGGCAAGCTCCCGGCTTATGTTGCCCCCGTGTCTGAAAATACTTCGGCAGTGGCAAGTGACAGTGGAGGATATCAGGTCCCTTCCCAGGAAGCTTCTGGGGGAAAGGATTTTGGCTTCTGCTTTCAGTGTGTCACTGGCCTTAAAGGATTGCCCAGGCTCCGTAATGAGGGAGGGATTGCGTTTTAATTAACTTGGAGAGAATCCCTTTGAAGTTTAGGGATCAAGCCTGGCTCGCTTTCATGGAAGGCTCTATGTGAGAGGGAACCTGAAGCACCGCCCTGTGGATGATCGGGATTGTCCTAGAGCAGAGTGTGTTGGTAAAGTGGAGTCTATGGACCACTTTCTGCTCCTGTGTCCCTTTAACATAGAGGGTGTATAAAAGGGTGGGGAGGGTTCTGGGCATCCCCTTTCTCTATCGCATGAGTTATGCAGAGTGGGTGTACGGGGGCATTCCCAGCTCGCTGGGACTTTGATTTGGATACACTTTTTCTAGTTAGTATAGTTGTCCGTTACTTCACATGGAACGCACGGTGTCAGATTACCCTGCGGAAGAAAGTCCTCCCTGTAGAGGTGGTGGTACACGATATTCTGGGTGAGGTTGGGAAGATTCGGGGTCTTGAGAGGGTCAGAGAGCCTCGGGCGGTCTGGATAAGGGCGTGGAGGAATATCAGACCTGCCTTTGGTGAACTGTCCATCTCTGGGTGAGGGGCTCTTTCCTTATACTGTTCTTTTCACTCCCGTAGTTTTTGTTGATTAAGATCTTTTTTGAAGAAGGGCTGCATGCATAAGGGGGGCGGGGTGGTTTCTTGACCTCACAGGTTTTGATGTCTGGTGTAGTGATGTGAGTGGTAGTACGATTTATGTCCCCAATTATGTCAAGTTCATTTCTGAGACGTTTGCTTTTGTCTGACAGCAGATTTTGCTATGTTTATTTTCGTTTTGCTGTAAATATATATAATTTTTTTTATATTCTGTATAATATTTTATGTTTATTGATTGCGAGACTTTTAATAAAGAAAAATTGGGAAGAATGTCCCTATACATTGGTGATCAGGGGGAAGAATGCCCCTTACATTGGTGATGAGTGGGAAGAATGTTTCTTTACATTGGTGGTCAGTGGGAAGAATGTCCCTTACATTGGGGGTCAGTGGGAAGAATGTCCCTTACATTGGTGGTCAGTGGGAAGAATGTTCCTTACATTGGTGGTCAGTGGGAAGAATGTCCCTTACATTGGGGGTCAGTGGGAAGAATGTCCCTTACATTGGTGATCAGGGGGAAGAATGTCCCTTACATTGGTGATCAGTGGGAAGAATGTCCCTTACATTGGTGATCAGTGGGAAGAATGTCCCTTACATTGGTGATCAGTGGGAAGAATGTTCTTTACATTGGGGGTCAGTGGGAAGAATGTTCCTTACATTGGTGGTCAGTGGGAAGAATGTCCCTTACATTGGTGGTCAGTGGGAAGAATGTCCCTTACATTGATGGTCAGTGGAAAAGAATGCCCCTTACATTGGGGGTCAGTGGAAAGAATGTTCCTTACATTGGGGGTCAGTGGGAAGAATGTCCCTTAAATTGGGGGTCAGTGGGAAGAATGTCCCTTACATTGGTGTGGTCAGTGGGAAGAATGTCCCTTACATTGGGGGTCAGTGGGAAAGAATGTTCCTTACATTGGGGGTCAGTGGGAAGAATGTCCCTTAAATTGGGGGTCAGTGGGAAGAATGTCCCTTACATTGGTGGTCAGTGGGAAGAATGTCCCTTACATTGGTAGTCAGTGGGAAGAATGTCCCTTACATTGGTGATCAGTGGGAAGAATGTCCCTTACATTGGTGGTCAGTGGGAAGAATGTCCTTATACATTGGGGGTCAGTGGGAAGAATGTCCCTTACATTGGTGATCAGTGGGAAGAATGTCCCTTACATTGGTGGTCAGTGAGAAGAATGTCCCTTACATTGGGGGTCAGTGGGAAGAATGTCCCTTACATTGGTGATCAGTGGGAAGAATGTCCCTTACATTGGGGGTCAGTGGGAAAGAATGTTCCTTACATTGGGGGTCAGTGGGAAGAATGTCCCTTAAATTGGGGGTCAGTGGGAAGAATGTCCCTTACATTGGTGGTCAGTGGGAAGAATGTCCCTTACATTGGTGGTCAGTGGGAAGAATGTCCCTTACATTGGTAGTCAGTGGGGAGAATGTCCCTTACATTGGTGATCAGTGGGAAGAATGTCCCTTACATTGGTGGTCAGGGGGAAGAATGTCCCTTATATTGGGGGTCAGTGGGAAGAATGTCCCTTACATTGTTGATCAGTGGGAAGAATGTCCCTTACATTGGTGGTCAGTGAGAATGTCCCTTACATTGGTGGTCAGTGAGAAGAATGTCCCTTACATTGGGGGTCAGTGGGAAGAATGTCCCTTACATTGGTGATCAGTGGGAAGAATGTCCCTTACATTGTGGGTCAGTGGGAAGAACGTCCCTTACATCGGGGGTCAGTGGGAAGAACGTCCCTTACATTGGGGGTCAGTGGGAAGAACGTCCCTTACATTGGGGGTCAGTGGGAAGAACGTCCCTTACATTGGGGGTCAGTGGGAAGAACGTCCCTTACATTGGTGATCAGTGGGAAGAACGTCCCTTACATTGGTGATCAGTGGGAAGAACGTCCCTTACATTGGTGATCAGTGGGAAGAACGTCCCTTACATTGGGGTCAGTGGGAAGAACGTCCCTTACATTGGGGGTCAGTGGGAAGAATGTCCCTTACATTGGGGGTCAGTGGGAAGAACGTCCCTACATTGGTGGTCAGTGGGAAGAATGTCCCTTACATTGGGGGTCAGTGGGAAGAATGTCCCTTACATTGGGGGGGTCTAGTGGAAAGAATGCTCCCTTACATTGATGGTCAGTGGGAAGAATGTCCCTTACATTGGGGATCAGTGGGAAGAATGTCCCTTACATTGGTGGTCAGTGGGAAGAAAGTTCCCTTACATTGGGGGTCAGTGGGAAGAATGTCCCTTGCATTGGGGGTCAGTGGGAAGAATGTCCCTTGCATTGGGGGTCAGTGGGAAGAATGTCCCTTACCTTGGTGGTCAGTGGATAGAATGTCCCTTGCATTGGGGGTCAGTTAGAAGAATGATCCTTACATTGGTGGTCAGTAGGAAGAATGTCCCTTACATTGGTGGTCAGTGAGAAGAATGTCCCTTACATTGGTGGTCAGTGAGAAGAATGTCCCTTACATTGGTGGTCAGTGAGAAGAATGTCCCTTACATTGGGGGTCAGTGGGAAGAATGTCCCTTACATTGGTGATCAGTGGGAAGAATGTCCCTTACATTGGTGATCAGTGGGAAGAATGTCCCTTACATTGTGGGTCAGTGGGAAGAATGTCCCTTACATTGGGGTCAGTGGGAAGAATGTTCCTTACAATGGTGGTCAGTGGGAAGAATGTCCCTTACAATGGGGGTCAGTGGGAAGAATGTCCCTTACATTGGTGGTCAGTGGGAAGAATGCCCCATTAAAGACAACCAGATACCTGGTGTCATGCTGTCATGCTGACTCTGCTGTTGGTATTGGCCCTGGAACTATGCAGCCATCATCAAACAAGAGGTCAATTGGCCACTTCTTAAGGAACCCCTAGCAACCTCAGGAGGAACCCTAGTTGAGAAGGGCTGCTCTACTGGAAATACATTCAGGTCAGTTCAAGGTTAAATGACTTTTCTTCAACCTTCAGAATCCCAAAGCAACCAAAAACCATCTTTTCCCTGACCTGACTTCAGTAATCTAGAATCCGATGTGTCACTACAGTTGACAGCACGTTACATGTTCTGTCTAATTAAATAACAGAATTAGCATCTGAATTCTGATTGGACAGTCACTGCCAGCGCACATTTTTAAATCTATATTAATGTTTTCAAAGCACTGAAAACAATCGTGTGTGCTTTAGGGGATATTGGCTGCAGTTATTAACCCAAGCAAGTCACTCGATGCTTCCTTAATTGAATTTACAGCAGCGTTGACGTCATGCCGTATACATCAATCCTTTTCCCAACAGACGGTTGTGCCATCAAGAACAACCTCAAAATGTATTATTGGTTTATTACATGAATCATTTCTCAGTACTCTTCGCTGGTAAGCTGACACTTTGATGTTGAGCGTTCCTCATAATGAAGGAGGGTTGTTGGATGGACTCCGTCTGGAAAGCAGATTTGTCAGCCTTGTTTTAAATTCAATTAACGAAGCACCGAACGACTTGCTCTGGTTAATAAATGTAACCAATATTCCCCAAAGTACGCGTGATTGTTTGGAGCTGTTTGACCACACTAATGTAGATTAGAAATGTGAACGCCATCAGCTATTCCCACTTGTGAGTTTGGATTTTGTTATGGCTCCGTGTCAATGAATGCATAATAATCCCGGATGCGTCTTCCTTTCCGTTATGTCTGGGTCTGTCCGTATCTGTGGAGTCTGATCACTGGGAAGGCGCACACATTGCTGTTTAACGTCCAAATCTGGGCCCAAGAAAACTGACCCTTGCAGTGGGGCCCCCGTACACAGCGCAAGGGTTAACAGCTAATTAAAGTGAGAGTGAACTCCCGCTGGACACTTGTACCTACAGCACTGCTTCCATAGGAGTTGCTGAGTTTTTGGTTCCCCTATAGCACAGGTGTCAAAATGGCGGCCCTCCAGCTGTTGCCAAACTACAAGTCCCATTGACCGACAGTTACAAGCATGACTCCCAAAGTTAGAGGCATGATGGGACTTGTAGTTTGGCAACAGCTGGAGGGACGCCAGTGTGACACTGTTACGAGAGCAGGGGCGGACTGACCATTCGAGTACTCGGGCACTGCCCGAGGGCCCGGGGTCAGTAGGGGGCCCCATGAAATGCCCCTGGTACCTTTTTTATAGGCTTTTTGAGTGTGGGCAAGGACACAGGCCCCATGATCCCCTATTGCCCGGGGGGCCCCATAAGTTGTCAGTCTGATTCCCAAGTACCACCCTACCCGTACCCTTCGCTCTTCACAGGACCTCCTTCTATCTTGCTCCCTGGTCTCCTCCTCACACGCACGTCTGCAAGACTTCTCCAGGTCCTCCCCCATCCTCTGGAACTCACTACCCCAATCCATCAGACTGTCACCTTCCCTCCTCACCTTCAGGCGCTCCCTGAAAACCCACCTCTTCAGGGAAGCCTACCCCACCCTCACCTAACTGCTGCTCTCCTTCATTCCTCCTACCACTCCATCCCCCACAGCCACTTCCTCCTGTACCACTACCCCCTCCCTCCTAGACTGTAAGCTCGAAAGAGTAGGGCCCTATAACCCCTCGTGTGCTGTTTGTAGTTGCTGTAATGTTTCATGTATTGTCCCCCCTCTATTGTACAGCGCTGAGCAAACCCTTTGGCGCTATATAAACTCAAATGTAATGTAATAATGTAAAGTCCGCCCCTGGACGGGAGTCACTTTAGATGAGGGGCCCATGGAACCCAGCTCACATTGGAGAGGTGGGGAGACCCCTGTCTCGGCTCCCCATATCCCTATTATGTGTAAGTCACCCTGTGCCTGTTAGGGGTATGGGGTGATCTGTCCTAATATTGTGTAGACATGTCTAGGAGATAGGTGGGGTGGGGGTTGTGGATTGTTTAATGTCATGTGGCTGCATCCCATTGTTCTATTGTGTGCCTTGCTTGGGAGCAAACTATTATGGGATGTGTTTATGTGTATTGGCTTGGTGGGGGGTGTTTCCAGCAGCCCTCCCTCCTGATGGGACTGTCTGTTGGTGTGCCTCTGTTTACTAAAGGTAGATTGCCCCGCCCTGTGTCATTATGCAGGGGGGGGGGTTGTTCCCTTGAATGTATATATTTTGTATCTGTGTTAAAATAAAGTAGTCTATTTCCTGGTTTACTTTAAATCTCTGGTGTCTGTGGTCGGAGTTCGGACGGGGAAGTTGTAACGGAAGTATCCAAGTGCAGTCTGGGGTCGGTTCCGTTACAGGCACCCGTGCCCTATAGTCTTGTACAGCCAGGAAACACGCTTTTTTTCATTCAGACTTGCATTAGGAGACAGCAACCAGTTCTCGAGCTTTGTTTTTTTGAAGTTTTATTAGGGGAATTGAACTTGGATGAGGTAAGGGGTGTATGGGATGCCCAAGGGTAATGGCATCAGAAGCCAAACTCCTTAGCAACTATGTACAAGTCTTTACAGCAAACAGTCTCTTGTGGAGAGTTAGCCAGCATCTCCCATAGTACCACCCCAGACCCCAGATGAATCCTCTCCTCATCCAGCTATCTGAGGGAAATCCCTGAGCAGAGGATCCAGTGCTTGCCACGTCAAAGTAAGACAGACCCGGGTAACTGCTAATCTGGTTTCCCGCCAGAATGCCTCTTTCCCTTCACTGGTCCAGGGGGTGCAGGTCTACTCACTTAGTCCTTCCCCTGCATTGCCGGTGGGTCAGTAGCTGCTACAAAGCCTCCTAGCTGGGCTGCTCTTTACCTGCCACACAGATGGTCATCTCTTAGGGGGTGAAGTTCCAAGCTTTGCCTCTTCCAAGGTCCCTGCCTGGAGGTGAGCCCCTCTCCCATCTGGGACCCCTGTAGAGGATTACCACCCTATAAACTGAATTTTATATTGATTGGTAATGTCAGGTTCCCATTGAGTCATATAGGGTAAGTTTGTATTATTCACCTCAAATATAATATGACCTTTGACTGCATCTAGGTTTTTGCATATGTAGTGCCCCTCTAGATAGCCAGGGGGAGCTAGTTAATTTTTTTAGTTAGGCTGAGTAGCAGGGTCAATTTTAGGTCAGAGCTGAGAGGCTCTGCAGATCAGTTCCTTGATACCTCCCCCTGCTCTAGAAACTTGGAGAAGATTGGTAAGCAGGAGGGACTGATCTGCATACTTAGGGGATCCTGACCAATCCCCAGGCAGGAGGCTCGGCATGAGGTCAGGACAGCCCTTAAGCATGATTGAGCCTACTCAGCAGGAGGAGAATTTGGGTGGAAGATGTGAGGAAGGCTGAGATGCAGGAGCCGGGGAATGGGCCCAGTGGGAAAGGGTCTACCTACAGGCCGGGACCTGGAAAGGAGGATTTCTTAGCCTCAATAGATTGTACGCCCCTTGAGGGTTAGGGACTGATGTGAGCGTACTATATACAGTTGTGTTCAAAATAATAGCAGTCAGACATCACTAACCGGATCAATCACTGTTTTTGGTGGAAATGATATTTCTACATGGCAAATAATTTCCTAGCAGGTGTAGTAGAGTCATAGAAATCCAACAGACCCAACAGTCATGACATGCATGTTGCTGATTCTGTGTCATTGAATCACTCATTGAAAGGGGCGTGTTCAAAATAATAGCAGTGTGGAGTTCTGTTAGTGAGGTCATTCATTCTTTGAAAAACAGGTGGCAATGATTGCCCTTATTTAAGGAAGGAAGGCAGCAAATGTTGGACATGCTGGTTACAGTGCATTTCTCTCTGAAATTCTGAGGAAAATGGGTCGTTCCAGACATTGTTCAGAAGAACAGCGTACCTTGATTAAAAAGTTGATTGGAGAAGGGAAAAAATATAAAGAAGTGCAGAAAATGATCGGCTGCTCAGCTAAAATGATGGCAAATGCTTTAAAATGGCAACCAAAACCTGAAAGACGCGGAAGAAAGCAAAAAACTACCATTGGAATGGATAGAAGAATAGCCAAAAT